AATAATAGTAATAATCATGTTGAAAACTGAGATCTTACACTTTTGGCTAACCATTTGAGTAAACAACATCAAAATCATTACTTTTGCAAAGGGAAAGGATGTGAATTAAAACCATGGGTATTGTGATGATTAATGAAATGTGTGATATTTTTTTTATTTTGTAGTCAAGGATTGCGTGTTGATGCGTGCCGATGATACCAACAAGCCACCATATGTGGCACGTGTGGAAAGGATCGAACGAGATGGTAGGGATGTAAATGTGCATGTAAGGTGGTATTATAGACCTGAAGAGTCTACTGGAGGACGCAGGAAGTTCCATGGAGAGAAGGAGTTGTTTTTGTCTGACCATTATGATGTTCAGAGTGCTCACACCATCGAAGGGAAGTGTGTTGTGCACTCTTTCAAAAACTATATCAAGCTTGAAAATGTTGGGGCTGAGGATTACTTTTGTAGGTTTGAGTACAAGCCTATTACTGGGGCTTTCACGCCTGACCGTGTTGTTGTGTGAGTTTATTTTTGTGTTTTTAATTAAATGGTGGTGTTTGTGTTTTAAGTATTGGAAGTTGTGTTTTAGTTTGTTAATTTCTTTTTGAATTTTGAAGGTATTGCAAGTGTGAGATGCCTTATAACCCAGATCACCTCATGGTACAATGCGAGACATGCATGGATTGGTAAAGCCAGTGTATTCTGCTTTCTTTGTTTACTTTTTTTCTTTCATTTGTGAGTGGTTTTTGGTTGTTCAGCTCTCTGGTTTTAGCATTAGATTTGTTGTTGTCTTGGATGAAGGAATTTTATGGATATTTTGTCTCCAATAGTTTTAATGTACTTGTGAAGTTTGATGTTGTTCAAACTTTGTCTTAGCTCGTGCACATGTTTTCCATGTTGCACTTGTAAAGGCATTATACTTGCTCAATCAAAGGAAAAATAATGCTAAGAAATGAGATCAATGTAGGAAATGGAGAACATATAAAATGTTTTATGTTCAAAGGAATCACATTTTATAAAAGTATTGGTAGAAGGATTTTCTAGAGTTTAAACTTATGATGTCTTTACATCAATATTTTAGCCTAAAATAAATTGATTTTTTTCCAATGTGTTATCCAATATAAATTGAATGTTGCAAGGGGGCTAATTTCTTTTGTGCTTGGATCAACTTTGACCTTATTTGGCTACAAGCTTTCATCTATTTCAAAAGATTGTTAAATTTAAGGAGTATCATAGTAGTTCTTCTATGGTATTTTTGTTTTTTTGAACCAATGTATAGATTTTACAAATGGAACACTTTTCAATTTTGGTAGGTTTTTTTTTGTAGGTACCATCCTGCTTGTGTGGGCATAACTATTGAAGAGGCAAATAAATTGGACCATTTTGTTTGTTCAGAATGTTTATCTCATGATGACATGGAAAACCCCCAGGTTACATTTCCTGTATCTCCAGAATCTGACAGCAAGGTGAGACCACCTGAATCCAATCTTGAACAATTTGAGTTGAAATGCACTTTTACTTATGTTCCTTTTTAGCTTCCCCACTCATGTTGGAGAGACATTATTATTCATTGGTTAAAAGGGGAATGAGAACACATTACTTATAATAGTTGAAGATTGGTGTAACAGAGAAAATTATTCCATTAAAAGGAAATATTGTTAAAGTATCTTATTAGATTTGTATTATCGTGTGAACCTAACTTTGCTCACTTGATTTTTCTCCATGGATTTATTTATCTAAAAGATTTAGGAACTTTGAAAAATGTAATTAGTCAAAGATTTAAGTTGTCAGATAGTTAAAAATTGAATTATAAAAATTGAATTATAAATATTATGATAAGCACTTATGCATATTTGTTTTATAAAATATTATAAATACATTCTTTACAAACAAAATCCTTTTAGGCTTCCCAACTAAACACTTGGTTAAAGCTTAAAGAGTAATACAACCAAGTATCATATTTTTTTAAAACATGATAAAAACTATTTAGCACTAAAGAATCTTTTTCCAAAGAGACTATTATTAGGGAATAACTTGATAAGATTTAAGATATTGTAATTGTGTTTTTTGTTGATTAAACTTCGTATTTATAGATATCCTTTAAAGATTACAATTGCAAATACTTCAATATGCACTTGAGACTTGCTTTGTCTTTCTTTTTCATATGAGAAGTGTTTGTTGGTTCCATAAATACTTGCATTAAATGTGTTTTACTAAATTGTCACTTTTTATATGATTTAAAAGGCTATAGAATGAAATAATTCACATGTCAATCTAAAACTAATTTTGTCTAAACACTTTCTACCAGGGAGTAGGCTTTATCTTTTTCTATTTGAAAAGTGGTCTACATCCTTTAAGGCATCACAAATCCTTAGAAGTTGAGTTTATTTATTCTATTAAGAAATACAATAAAGACTGATGTTAAAATGTTCAAAAATATTAAATAAAGCATTTAAATTTGTCTTCTTAAGATAGATGATGCCTATTATTTATTCCCTTCTATATTATTAAAACATAGTCTTTATGTATTTATGAAAAAATAGTGACAATTCGATTATGCAAACTTGATCTTTTTTCTTCTGAAAACATTTATTTGTTATAATTAAAACATAATTATTTGAGCGGTTTTAATTTATATTTATTCTAAGAACAAATTATTTTTTTTTTCTAGTACTTTTATGTTTAATTGCATTATGAGTTGTTCATTTGAATGAACTTACCAAGCATGTAAGCATAGATTTGGATTCTAATTTTTTATACGCATGTTTTGAAAAATTTTAGGAAGTGAAGATTATAATATAAAAATTCGTTATATATATTTCTATTTGTCTATCTATCTATGTCTATGCGTAATAAAATATAGTTTTATTTATAACATATGTCTTCATTTTCTTGTGAAATCTATTAAGCTTAGTCAGAAAATTCTACTCCTTTGTTATTCCTTTGAATCTTTGATGCATCTTCTGCTTATAATACCAATCATTTTGAGGAAATAATTAAATCATCTAAAAGATTATGGTAAAGCATTTTGTTCTTTAAACGACTCAATCTTTGCTTGCCAATGTTGAGTTAGAGTTTTGATTTATTTTAAATTTGTTTTATTTTGTCTACATGTATAAAGGATTTTAAAAATATCCAAAGATGTCCAATGTTGTATTGTTAGATAATGATTTGACTTGGATTGTCATTCTAGTTTATGTGCATTTTGCAAATTGTTGTATGGTAGTTGTCATCGTCATGTTGGCATAGTGATATGATCTTTATAAGGAGTATGTCTTAATGTCATTACTATTGCTTTTCTAGTGACATTATTGATGAGAAAACCTTTGAGGGTATTTTAGAATTATGCTTTGTAAATGATGATTATGACATTGAACTAGAAAACCCTACATTTAGCATAGAGAAAGTTGTCTCATTGCAAACATCTTGTTTCACATTGGTTTTTTTACTAGTTATATAATGTTATAAGTTTAATAAGCAAGTCATAAATTTGAACTTGCAGGTGGAGTCAAAGCGGAGGAAGATATGACCATCATGCACAATTAATTCTTCTTGGAAGATGAAACTCTTGCTAAATTTCGCTGGTTGTGGCAATTGGTTATGTGTGTTTATGTTGTACATCTTTTACCAGAGGCTATAAATACTTTATGAATTTAACAAAGGCTATATATGTAATTGTCTTAAAATTATGACAAGCATTGATCTATTTTCCTTTTGTGTCCAAAAAGAGTAACTTTTTTTAGTGTTTATGTTTGAAATAGCATCAACCTTTAATATTATAGGAAATTATCAATTTTTTGATATTTGGATTCTTGTTTGTTAATTTTCTCATCAACTAATGTATTATGTTATTTTTTTTTTTCGCAGCAAAAGGGGACAATGTTAGTTTCGGAATGAAAATCCTTCATCTTTCATGTTATATGTCTTTAGCATGATACACTTGTCTATCTAAGATTATAGGAGCTTAACATTTGAATATTGTCACATAAATGTGTCAACCATGAACATTGATGATTTAGGGCTTTTTCGTCTAAATAAATTTTAAAAAAATAATAAAAATACACAACAAAAAAAAAAAATTTACCGGTATAGGTTTTTTTTTGCGACGTGACAGAGTGTGAAGAAGGGGCATGGGGGGAAAGTTTTCTAATAGGAAAAAACAGGTAAAGATGACTCCTCCCACCCATGCACCATGTGTGTATGTGTTGTGGAATGAAAGTGTGAAGAAGGAGCATGGGAGATGAGTTTTCTAATAAGACAACATAGGTGAAGATGGCTCCTCCCCCCATGTGCCATGTGTGTATGTTTTGTGAAATGAGATGACGCATCCCCCTTATGTACCATCTATATATCACTTTTTCAGTGGCTTTGTGGTAGCCTTTGACCGAAAGTAAATAAATGGTGTAGAGAGCCCTTGAGTTTTGATGAACAACAGGTTTTTTCTTGCACACTTCGTTCTCGTTCTCTCATTCTAAATTTAAAATTAATATTTGTTTAAAATATGTATAGTTTAAATTTTAAGTTTGAAAAAAAAGTTTATAATTGAGCTTGTTGAGCTGCCATAGTTGTTCTCCATTAATTGAAAATTTAAACTATATAATTATATATTTCACATTTTTTATTTTAATAATTATTTCAAAATTTACAGGTTATTATCTATACATATTTTAAACAAATATTAGTTTTTTTTCTTCTTAATATTACAATATACAATAAAATTTAAACAAAATTTTGTTTAAACTTACTTGATATATCTATTTTTTAACTTGCATAATAACACACAAAATTAATCTAAAACATAATTAAATAAATATTAAATTCTATACAACAAAATTTAAGTACTTACAATAACAACAAAAATTGAAACCAATTTTACAATGAAAGAGGAGAACACCATCCAAATTTATAGAGCGAAACCACAGAAAGAATGACAGAATAGTGACGAAGTGTGCAAGAAAAAACATGTTATTCATCAAAACTCAAGGTAGGCATGGCAATGAGCCGGGGTGGGGGTGGGTTTTACGTTCCCCGCCCCCGCTCCCGCAGATTTAAACCGCCCCTGCCCTCGCTCCCGATACCTGCTAGGAGTAAAATTTGGGTACCTATCCCTGTCCCCGGCGGGGTTTGGATTTCCCCACCCCGCCCCCGCCCGCTCCTACATTTTTTTTTCTTTTAAATAAATATGAACAAATTTAAAAAAAATAAAAGAAAAGTAAAATAATACAAATTTTTACATATAAATATTTTTAATTTTGGTTTATATATATAAAAATAATTTTTTAATTATATTATTAAGCAGGACAGGTACGGGCGCAAGGGAGGAGCGGGTATTAACATCCTCGTTCCTGATCCTGATTTTATCAATTGGGGAAAACCCGAACTTGGTAAATACGGGTTTTTCCCGTCCAAATCAGGGCGAGTTCAGGCGGATATCCACGGGGTGGGTTAGATTGTCATGCCTACTCAAAGGTCCCCTGCGCCATTTATTCACTTTCAGTCAAAGATTACCATAAAGCCACTAAAAAAGTGATATATAGATGGCGCATAGTGGGGATGCGCCATCTCATTTCACAAAACACACACACATGGTGCATGGGTGGGAGGAACCATCTTCACCTATTTTGTCCTATTAGCTAGAAAACTCTTCCTCCATGCTCCTTCTTCACACTTTCATTCCACAACACATACACACATGGCGCATGTGTAAGAGGAGTCATCTTTACCTATTTTGTCCTATTAGAAAACTCCTTCCCTCATGCTCCTTCTTTACACTTTGCTACGTGACAAAAAAAACTTATACCGATGAATTGTTTATTTATTTATTTTTATTTTGTATATTTTTATTTATTTATTTATGTGAAAAAGTCGATGATTTGGTGTGAAACATATATAAACAACAAGTTTGATATGATTGTGATTATATTTCTTACTTTAAAATGTCACATATAATTTGATATGCCCTTTCAGTTTTATTTCAAATTTTCAATCCAATATTTTGTCCTTAAGGTGAAGAGTTTAAAATAAAAGAAAATTTTTGAAAAAAAATTAAGAAAGAAATGGTTTTTGTCAAGTATATGGTTGGAAAAATGATAACATAATCACTCATTAAAAAATAACGTTAATATTAGTAAAATTGTATAATTTTTTTTTTATATAGATGTACTTTTTCAAGAATGTTTACATATAATTGTTACATTGAAAAAGTTATTAATGTGTTTGTGTTTTAGGCTTGAGAAGACTAAGGCAAGATAACATGCATGCACACTGACGTACAATATTTATATCGATGATAAAAGATAAATATGTGCTTACATATGATTATAAACGTAGCTTTAACTGTAACACCCCAGTTTTCCAAAATGGTTATTATTATTATAGTAACGACCTGCCATGGTCTCTACACTTAGTGGAATCGCACTACAACTAGTTAACTAAGAGAATATAAAACTAGATAACATGTATCATACAGGCATAGATATAAGGATCAAAATTGTAACACCCCAGTTTTCAAAAAGGTTATTATTATTATTGTTATTATTATTATTATTATTATTATTATTATTATTATTATATGGTATTTGGTCATAATTATTTTAATAATTATAGAGGAATATTATTTTGTACGTTTTAAATAATTATTGTTTTGGACAATTATTTTGTACGTATTAAATAAGTATTTTTATTAATATTTTTAAATAAATATTTATATGTTTTAAGAGAAGGTTGATTTTATATGATATTTTGTTATTGAAATT